CCTGTTCCAGTGCCTTACCACCCCCACAGGCAAAATGTTCTTCCTAAATATCTAACCTGAATCTATCTCCTTTCAGCTCAAAACCATTACCCCTCATCCTGTCACTACACTCCCTAATAAAGAGTGCCTCCCCATCTTTCCTCTAGGCCCTCTTTAAGTATTGGAAAGTTACTATAAGGTCTCCCCAGAGACTTCTCTTCTCCAGGCTAAACAACCTCAACTCTCTCAGCCTGACCATTTTTGCTTAGTTCAAACCCCTCTAATTCCTCTTTTGACCATCCACCAGTTCTAGCAGCCCTAATAAGCACAAGACTAACAGCACAGTGCAGCTTTCTGACTGGACTCTGTTGCATACATTGGGAAGTGCTGTACCCATGAGATATTACAAGCAGAGAAGTATGGTCAGGTTATACTCTCACCTGTTTGGGGAGATCTTAAAACAGAAAAGAGGGAAAATCATTCTGTTGCTGCTAAACAGATTTCAGCCCTTTGTACTCTCTCAAAACCAGACCCGTTCAGCGTGTTCCCTATGCATGACACAGCATATTGATAAGTCAGGTTGAGCATCAGAAGAAGTGAGTATAAAGTCACCAGCAACTGTTACAGAAATTGTGCACCTCCTGCAAAAGCTTTCTACCTCAGTCTTCATTCGCATCTTTGTCACTCGAGTATTTGCATGCTGAATCCTCCTCCTCATTCGTGAAGGCCCTTCGTAACAGTCAAGAATCCATCGTGGCTCTAAGGATCGTGATACATCTCCCCACGGGCCCCTTCTGTAGAAAAGTTGCTCCTCAAGTATCATCCAGTCCTTGGCTGCTTTGCTGTAACCACACTGCAGCATCTGTGAGACAGAACCACTTTGTGACACCTTTTGCACTCTTCCCTCCTTCCATCCTGCACTGGCACCTCAGCGATTCAGAGGGACCACGGAAAGGGATCACTGCAGGCCCAGCAAACACAGGTCTGACTGACCACTGAAAGTGTGCTGTGGGAAATCCTACCAGTCAAACTAAGATACAGTGACAAATACAAGCATATCGCAAACTTCAACCTTCTTGAAAACCACTGCTTTCATTAAATTTCAAACTCGAAAGCAGTGAGCCAGGAGAATAGAATCACAGAGGTTTTATTCACTCCATTTTTTTTTCTGGTGAAAGTTTGTGTCAAGCGGCAACAAGGATGCTCACTGAAAACAGAGTCTGAAAGTCACAGAAGTGTATTGTGCTCCCTCCAAATTTCTGCTTAGGACATGCGTGCAAGGAGTTGAGGGGCACTAAAATATCATCTCCAAGGAGAGAAGAGGTGAGAATTCCAAAGAATAAAAAGCTTGTTGGTCTCTCATGGCCAATCCTGAAACAGAAACATACCTGTAAGATTTTACTGGCTATGAGTTTGAGACCTCTTGAAAAGTTTTACTGTCTGGTAAGACAAAAAATATCAAAGTCCTCACTTTAATTTCTGCCACAGTGAAAGTGGAATAATTCATTTAAACAAAAGAAAAAAGGCTCCTGAAGATAAAGTGAGGAATCTGACTGGTGAGTGATGCTACATATATATATATATATATATATCACACTTCAGTGGTTATGTCAGGAAGGGAGTATTGACTCATCAACTCTCCAAATTTCTTTGGGCACACTACTCATCTCACTTCTGAAATGCCCAATTTCTCAGGTAGTCCAAGAACATCCTTTCAACAACAGAAAGCTGTTGCACAATATTGCTGTTCTTTACCTGTAAGTGGTTCTTGTACAGAGAGGCATACAGCTCCTGCCCAGTTCTTCGGTACCTTTCCATGCATGACACAAATCCCTAGAAGAAACATGAGAACACATTACACCAAGATGCTGCAGGTGTAAGCTCTGTAATGGGCAGAAGCAGGCAACCGTTGCTCTGTCTTTTACAAGAATAACTAAGAAATATGGCCTGTGTCTGCAAGTTTGATGGCTCTCCATACAATATAGTGATGAGGCAACCACCTATGAGCAAGTTGCATGCTTACACCAGGAAGATAAACATATTCATGATCTTAACAAGGGTCATTAGTGGAGCTACTCAGAAGGAGAAAAAAACCAGCAAATAATATTTAAGGCTCCTCCTTTTGGAGATGAATTAGTTTGTACTGCAAGTAGCACAAAAGGCAATTATCTGTGGTAGAGACCCTGACTGAGGTAAGGATCCATAATGATACACCTGCTCCTTGCTATATAAACAGAAAGTGAAAACAAAGGAATGGTCCATGTCCCCTTCTTGTAGACAGGTAATGAACTGTTTCCAAAAACATTTTTGAGATTTAGGTTCCTAGGTCCTTTGGCAACAAGTGACCTGGAGTAAAAATACACTATTTAATGGGTTTGAGATGCAGACATGCCTGAGCTAGCTCTAGCACTGGAAACTTGTAGAGCTGTGCTACTGTACGATGACACCCATAACTGTCCCTGCTCCACCGCACAGCACAGACAAGCCCTAAACCCTGGTGCTACTCAGGTGTTTCTGGAAATACATGTTTTCCAAAGCAGTCTGACAGAACTTCCTGGCCACCTTTTGTTTCCTTCTGGAATTCCCTAGACTCACAGAACAGTGAACCTGCATCAGCTAGTCATACATTTCATCTGCTGTTTCACTGCAGTGAACTTCTCAAGCTAGGGGTCTCTGTGCAACTACAACATTTATGAATTGCTGTCAAGAGATTACAAGTTGTATTCCTCACTCTGCAAACAGATTGTTATGTGACTTTCAGCAAGACATGCAATTGCCCTAAACCACTACCATTCCAACCACAAAAGAGACTATAATACTAACCTCAAAGTTACACAAACTAAGATCATGAACAGTGATCCAGCATGCTAGGATCCTTAAACTCAGGGAGCAGGGAGATGAAATGGGTTTCATTCTCCTCTTACCTACTCCACCAAAACCCACAGGTTTTGGCGTCACAAAGTTCACATAGCCAAGACCTATAAAGACGACAAACCAGAGAATTTCAAACATCACTTGCTATCTGAGCCTCCCTTTTGAAAAGATCAGCAGAAACATTATTAAACTCAATGGAATCCCTGAGGCACTAAACTAGTGCATCATGCAAATAACAAAACACAACCTAGGATATTCACTATCATACTATTCCTCAAATTCACCCATTAAGCTTTAATCAAATAAAATCTCCCACCTTTGAAAATGCTAGGTTTGTTCCCTGCTTTCTCCTAGGTATCTATGAAGTTCTGTGTCCCAAAGAGACTTGAAGTAAAGGCTGTGTGTATAGCTGAAGCACTGAACAACTGCTGAGTAAGCTACTGGCTTGTTTTACCTTATTACGTGAAAGCAACTGAAGAACCAGCACAGGATTCTGCTTTAACAGGCTGTCCAACACTCATGAGACAGTTCTACAGTCTTGTAAATCAGGCTTTTCTATGCAAACGCAAGCACAGCTGCTCCATCTATTTCTCTCCTTGCTCAGTATCTCCTCATGTGACTGCTGAGAAGTAGCTGCTGGGGGGAGTTCAGTATCACAGCCTTCTTACTAACAGTCACAGGCAAAAATTCTCTTGTTTGACAGTACACTTCCTCAAGAAAGATTCTAGCTATCCTGTTACAACTACATGATGCCATGTCTGATCTTCTGGGCATACTTGCTTGAACATTTTCCATGTTCTCTGAAAGAGCAACTTTTTTTTCCTGAAGTCAATGACATTGTGACCTGGCTCAGAATGGTGCTCCTAATCACTACTGAAAGAAACAGAATCCCAAAGTCACAGTATCCAAATAAACCATAAATATCTATTCCACGTGCCCACGTGCCAGCCAAACGTGTAGGAAGGAAGCAGGCTTACTTGAACATGATTTTGAAGCCAAAATAAGATTGCTTGCCCTTCCCAGGAACTTACAAAAGGTACCACAAAGCTGTAAAATGGGTAAAAAAAAAAAAAGAATTAGAGTGGCTAACCATTAACTCCATTATAGTGAGCAGCAGAAATTCCTGAGGATTAGAGGTGGCAAAGAAGGCAGAAGCTGTTCTGAGATTTTACAGATGTTAGAGTGCCCTCTGGGAAATTTGAAGGCTCTCATGCCCACTGGAGCTTCCCTGTCAAAGCTGAGATTGCTGTGAGTCACAGCATGAGGCTAAACTGGCTGTGGAAGTCCCAGCCTCACACTACCTAGAGCCATGGATCAGACGGGTAACTTTTAAATGCTTGGACTCTGTGCCATGCTGGCAATGATTCCTCACAGCAAACTGTCTAGCTGCTGCTTGCACTGTGCTATAATTAAGTTAACACACAAGGTCTATGTGGTGTGCTGATTACTGCTGGCTGCCAGCCAGGTCCGTACCCCTGCTGCGAAGTCACATTTATTGGTGTTTCCCTGCAGGAAGCTCCTGTTTTACACTGATGAAAGTCATTATATTTTTGTTTGTTTAAAGCATCATTAAACCTGTAATCACAGTTGTGGCCTCACAAAACTATTCCATAATTCATATAAAACTCCCATAAAGGCTGACCTAGAAAGCAACAGCATCTCTGTGCTGTTGATCTGGGCTCAGTACGGGAGAAGAGCTGAGATCCCAGCTCTGTGTGGACATAGGGTAGCCATTCAGAACAGAAAACCAATTCCTCCAAGTAATAACAACCATTTCAGATACCCACAGGCTATTCAAACTGAGTCAGTGTTCTGCTGGCAGCTGTTTCAAAGTTGCTTGTAGTCTGTACTTCACTCATGGTCACCGATCAGACCCCTAAGGTCAAAGCCCACATTGCAAAGATTTTAACTGACTTCACTGATCCAGCTCCTAGCCTTTGAAACATATGAAGGGTCCTAAGAAGGAAAAATTCTGCTAGCCACATCTGGTGAACTGAAGACTAACCACTTTGGCTTCCAAATGAGCTATAGCTAGCCATCTTCAACCAGATGAACATATCCCTGATCATCATCCCACAAGAAAACCATCTGGTTGTAAAATGAAATGAACAGTTAACAAAATTGGAGATGACTGCAACTGGAGAAAAAAACCAACACACAAACCCAAACAAACGAACAAAAACAAAACCTGAACAAGATATCAAATAAAAATGGAGAATATAGACCAAGCTATTATTAAGTGTTTAGTCAAAAAAATTACACTGTAATGCTTAATGAACAACTACTGCAAACAAGTTTCTATCAAATAAACAGTTTTCATGAAAAACTGTAGGTGGTTATCCTTTAAAATGGCAAATCTTTATGCAGTAGATTAAATACAACAAATGCCAGCTTTAATAGTTGTTAACACGTGTAACATAATATAAGGTTTGAGTTTCATATGCAGAAAAGCAGGTGTAAATGCAAGAAGTATAACCTGCATTCTAAGGAGGAACAGACTAAAAGGCCACATTGATCCATCCTGGCCAAAAAATCTGAGTGTGATACCATGCTTTAAAGTCTTTTTTATACAGACTTCTCCACTTTGCAGCTTTAGACAATCATGTTCTAAGTAGAATCAGGTTGTTTTGCTGCCTCAGATTCCCCAGCCAATATTTAGAGCTTGAAAAGATGATGGAATTCACAAGCTCTTCCCCTACCAAAAAAAACCAAACCACAGAATCAAAAACTGTTTCTCCTCTTGCTGCATGGAGACCTCATACAAATAGGGCAAAAAATTATTAGCATTGGGAAAAGGTAAAACCAGTAAGAAGAAAAATGCTTGCAAACAGAGAAATTAGCATGCAAAAAAACCCCAGAGAGTGGATTTTCTGTAATTTCTTTCAACTAAAGCAATTGAAAGGCTGCTTGTAATAAGAAACGGTTGAAAATAAAAAAAAAAAAAAAAGAAAAAAAGGTTGAGGTGTGACTTCTGAGTTAACAATTCTCTAGTGAGCTCTTGAATGTTTTATGTTTGATTTTTTTAAAGTATTTATATATATATATATGTCACTTAACACTCCTGCACCCTATAAATATTCAGGCTTGCCATAATAAACTCATACTGCACTATAGAGACACCACATATGCCACATTTCTTTCCTAAAGAAACATTATGTCATTGGAGCTCTGCACTTTATGGCTTTCTTTGGGAAGTTAAAGACTATGTGTTTTATTACAGAACACACAAGTATGGCACAAGTATGTGCCAAAACTCTTGACATAAAAAAAACCCAAACAACTCCAAGACAAAAATATTTTTAGACTTGGAATAGCCGAAAGGAAAGCCCAAATATCCAGATTCCTCATTGTGCCAGGTGAATAGTCCCGTGGAAGACAGTTGAAACTTCCCATGGACAATAGAAAGAATACCCACATATTTGTTCTGAAGCATGTGTTTTAGTCATCTGTTGGTGAGAACTAGAACTAGTGATATTAGTCTACTACTTTAGCTCTTCTGAGAAAAATCAATATTATAAATATCTAAGCACACACAGTAAGAACATTTACATAGCATTGCAGCTATAACAAAAATATCTGCTCTCGTGCGGTACTTTTCACTGGTACATCTCAGAGGTCTTTATGAAAGAGGTCAAAGTCTCTAGCCTACAGTTGGGGAAACTAAGACAAGTGAGTTTCTGGGAACATCCTGGCAGTATGACTTGGCTGTGAGGGAAGGGGTGTTGGTGATGGGGCAAACCCAATCTGAATTAATTTGAAACAGCTTAATAAACCCACAAAGAGGATGTACATGGTGACAACATGCAGTACTGTGAGGTGGAAACAATCTGACAAACCAATTTGGAAATCCCTTCTACTCTTATGTTCCCAGTGCCAGATGGTATTCTAATATAGCTGATTTACTGGTCTTATATCACAGGAAGAGTCCAGATATCTTATTCCCCTAACCTGGGTTTTCA